AGTAGTAGTAGTAGTAGTAGTAGTAGTAGTAGTAGTAGTAGTAGTAGTAGTAGTAGTAGCAGTAGTAGTAGTAATAGTAGTATTACTATTATTATTATAGTTATTACTATTAATGTTACTATTATCGTTGAGTGGTTGCTGTTGCTGTGTTATACGGTAGAAAGTAGCTCGACGATGGTCAATTTCGAAAGCATCCTCGACTTTAATTGTTCGACACAAATCGTTTTGCGTATGGTTGTGAGATGCATTACTCCATTTATAAGCACTGCCCAATAGAGCATTCGTGCGAGTGCTTAGCGCTGTTGTCGAAAGAGCATCCATCGACGTTCACTTCTCAAACGTTCGCTAAAAGTTACGTTGGCTTGTGCTTGTTCACCACGCAATTGAACCTCTCTTCATTCCAACGATGCCTTTTCTCTTATTACCTCGAAAACGTTCATTTCCTTCAAAAATTAGCATTATATATCAATAACGATAGCATCGCGATATGATAGATAACATTTCAGAGAGAGCACGATACATCCGCAACGCAGTGATTGGTTGCTCAATTAGCATAATGGTTTGCTAATCAATACTGATACGGTAGGAGAGTGTATTGCAGCATTATTCAAATACTCGACCAAAGGTCAACAAATAAACTCTAATCCTCGTTGTTTTTGTTCGTATCTTCTTTTCTATCTTACCGCCCGATCAAAAATAAAAATGAAACCGGAGATTGAGCCAGCCGCCAGCTGGCTGGTTGGTCAAAACCAGTTTGGTGTGCACCCACTTGTCCACTAGCTGTTCACTTCACTAACGGTGATGACCATCGGCAATAAAATTCTTCTTTTCATAATTACTACAATTATGTGCTCGTGTCAACCTCTCACTAACACAAGTTAACTTTCATAACATATCAACTCCGATGAATCGAATACACACTGATCAATAACGTAGTTCTCGACGAATCCTAAACAACCAAACCCATCCACCTCTCCTTTCTTCGACATGGAATTACTCGAATATGTTCGAAAGTTCAAATAATTCCTTTTTACCAAGTTAAAAAATTTTTTCGCATTCTCACTGAGATATCATTGAAAATGAGAAACAAAAACACGAACAATTCATAATTCGTGCAATTACACCGATATGTAGATGTATTCAATCATGCGACCACTCACTCACTTTCGACATGCAAAACCAGTTCCATCGAAACAACAACAAAAAAATGATTTGTTTAGTGGTTGCTCGTTGCTCGACCTATCTATCTCTCAGCAATTGCAGAAGAAAGTGAAATTCTAATTTCACATTCCAATATTTATGATAAATCTAGTACTAATGCGTTTGATAAATGATGATAATAATAGTTATAAAATTACACTCAGTTCATTTTCATCTCGGTCATCGAAACAAACTAATCATGGATCCTTCCCTCATGCACTGCAAACTTCTTCATGAAGTTCCTGTGAATACAAATTCAGAATGTTTACTGCTATGAATCCATATCTATCCATTTAACCACCCACCTTCATACAATCATTCTTCATTAAATTCGATTATGCTCTTCTTCCATGAAATAAAGTATTTCAAAAGTATTTCAAATCTACGTTATCCATTCGTTATAAATAATCATTATTTCATTTCATTACAAAATATTATGCATAAATACGATTTATGCAGTAACAACTGAATTTAATTCGTCATCAAATTCATTCAGCCAAAAAATGGATGAGTTTACGTTTTTAACGTAAACCAAGAAAATGACGTTGTTGCTGAGAGGAGATGGATGGGAAAGAATGAATTGTAGCGTATGCATATGTGAATAACAGTCGTATCAGACGAATGATCATTTGATCGTAAATCTCAAATGAAAACTCCATTTCTAATCGAACAACCAAAGAAAGTGAAAATGTTCAATCGTTAAAATGTAGGGCATGAATAAAAAGTATACAACACATAAGAATAACAAGAAAACCTATATGAATGATACTCGTCACCATATCACTAATAACAGATCCACTACCAGCATCCAATAATGATCCATCCTATCCCATCTGAACATCAATAATCAACCAATCAGCACTCAACCATTATTTATGAATCAATCCATGAACGATCTAAGTACGCATCGAAATCGAAAGTTGTTTCTCATGTTGATCTTGATCAGCTTGATGATAATTAATCAATTAACAATCACACCTTTTAATTGATGGAGCGAACGTGTTTGAATAACGTAAGAAAGGATAGATGCTAAACTAACTCAGCCATTTTTTACGAAAATAGATTAGTAAGAAAGTAGTGATCATTAGGAACAAGCATTTTACTTGATCGCATTTCTTTTCACCCTTTGGTTTTCTGTTTGACGCAGAGAGACATTTAGATGCAGCATTTACTGCTTTGAAACAAGCGAATGGCAAAACCCAAGCAAACTTTCATTGAATGAAACAGGCAATGCAGTTGTATTACAATAGTGTAGTTATCAATCGTGATATCACCCCTGCTCGATCATAACGAGTGACCACAACTCATCTAATGATATTGCAATAGAGTAATGACGAAA